TCGTTACGGTCCAACTTTGTTCTGTTCCAACGGTTCATTTCTGCAGACTATCCTGCAGCAATGAAGTCCACAATCAGTCCTCTAAACTCTTAAACATACTAATTTTAACAACATACAGTACTTATATGTAGCTACTACATGTTACTTACCAGGCTTGGCAGAACAACAGTGGCTCAGTTCTGTCCGACCCGATAGATGAAAAAAAGTCCCTTTGCAGCAGGATAAAGCCCACCGCTGCTGCTCCAGGAGCAAGGCTGCCCAGGATTTAGTCCACCACCTCTGGTTCGGTCTAGATCAGCACCCCGCGACCAGAATCTGACTGAAGCCTGCAGCCATCTGTTGCCTGCAGCACCCAGGATCTGGGTCACACTGAGTCCAGATCATATGCAGCCCAGCTACTCAGCAGTGAAGATACAACTTGGATGAGTTCAGCTTCAAAAATATTTGTGGCTTTCCTGCCAGTCCTGTGAGCTTATCCTTACAGAACTTCTGGCTTTGCTGCAAAACTTTCCCTCCATTTGCAGCAAGCAGCGGTTGGAAGCAGTGTTGACTTCTGGGCAGTGAACTGATAGCTTCTGGATAATGTAGTTCTTTAGACTGGCAAAACCATGTAGGCTTAATGAAAGAAAACTACAAAATGGCGGCACATTTTACTTTTTTATTTTTGGAAAAAATTATGTACAGTACTTGTACGTCCACGAACTGCAATAAAGCAAGTCCGCGAAAGTCGAACCACGAAGTAGCGAGGGACTACTGTACACTTGTGACAGCAGAATCAGCACCATTCCAGCACCTCGAAGCAGCGAGGTCTGCAAGCAAAGACTGCATGGAAACCAATTAGCTCTACACAGATCAGAGACACATCTGAGAAGTACAAATCTGGGTTGGTTTATCAAAAATATATCTCAGAACACTGAACACTCCACAGAGAACCATTAAATCCATTATTAGGAAATGGAAAGATTATGCTACCTCATCAAATCTGCCTGGAGAGAGTTGTCCTCTAAAGTTCATGGACTGGGTTAGGAGGGCAATAATCGCCAGAGATAACCTGTCTATAGGACAACTAATCAAACTGAGATGGGTGTTACACAAGAGTGGCATGAAAATGGCATTACTTAAATCAAAATTAGCTATTTGGAAATTCTTGCCCAAGTACACAGAAGAATGTTCTGTGATCAGTTGAAACCAAACTCAAAATTCTAGTCCATAAAGGACAACATTATGTCAGAGGTATATCTATTTTTTTTCATTCAACCTTTATTTAAACAGGTTAGTCTATAAATTATTATTTTATATTATTATAGTTACAGTATATTATTACCTTGCATCTTGTTGAGAACATCTACACAGTGAAGCATGGTGGTGGAAGCATCATGCTGTGGAAATGTTTTTTATTAGCAGGGACGTGGAAACTGGTCAGAGTTAAAGAAAAGATGGATGGAGCAAAATATAAAGAAATTCTGGAAGAAAACCTGATTCTTTCAGAAATTTAAGACTTGGTTGGAGGCCCATTTTTCAGTGTTTCTTTTTTCTTCTTTTTTAAATCGTCACACGTTGTTTCTCTTTTAATTACATTATTCTGAAGAATTGGATTTTAAATATTATTTAAATACAAATTTAAAAAAAAATCCACGTAAATATATTGTAAAATATATATATATATTTTTTTTAAATAGTGTACCAAGAGTGAATAGTTTTGCAACACTGTATTTCCTTTCTTCCTTCCTTAGATGGATAACTTTACTTGTACTTTTTGGGGAGTGCCTAGAAAGGCAGCCACCTATTATTATCCACCTGAAAGGGGTCTTGCTCTTGTGTCAGCTTTAGTGCAGACCGAACCGCAACATGTACCTCCACAACTCTTGTATCAAAATGACCGGTTCAGCACCATGATGTGTGCTATTATATTGGCATTTCAAGTTACCATGGCGATGTAATTTGCAAACAAAGATGCCATTTTTCTCATTCAAAATACATGGTGGAATTTTTAACAGCCTATAAATGCAACAGTGAGGTCACATGACCTAGAGGGGAGAGATCTCTGAGCAAAACACTAATTTTTGGAACCATATTGGTTCAAAATGGCTGCCACAACTACATCAGAAAACTCAAAATTGACTATAACTCAACCAATGAGATACTGAGCTGAAATTTAGTGTGTTCGTAGCTGAGACTGTTCCCCATCACATACTGAATCCAAATCAAAATCCAATATGGCCACCATAAGTTACAAGGAAAAAAAAAAAAGACTATAACCCATTGATTTTTTTTTTTACCACGTTGAGCTGAAATTTGGTGTGGTGGCAGCTCAAGTCATTCCCCAACACATAGTACTGTAAAAACATATTTTTTAAATTGTCACCATGTGGAAATCCCATCAAAGTTTCCCCAGGAACTTTCTAGCTGGCATTTACAATGTATGTGAATGTTTCTGTTCTGTGCCCTGAGATAACTTCTGTTGTGACGTTGGCTCTATGTAAATAAACCGAACTGAATCAAATTGAATTATTTATCATGGCATTGAACATGTTTTGTTTGTATGAGTTGAAGCACAATTATCACACTGTACATCTGTGACTGCAAGCAGCAGGTTTTTTAAATAATGTATTTAAAAGCCACAAACAAAGGTTATATCTGAGCTCTGAAGTCATTTTTTATTAGGCCTTGTGAAAATGAGCCTTTTCAGGGCTATGGCTTGTTTGATTATCATTTAAAAAAGGTCAAGCAATGCGCATTTATACTCCACATATTTTATCACAACAATTCACAGCTATAGTCTCCTCTCATCGGCTGCTCGCACTCAAACTATAAAGAAAACATTTCCAACTAATTAGGAAAAGGCTTTTCGAGTCAATGTTTCCTTGGTTTGTTTTAAGACATGTTTTATCTCAGTGTTTCACATAAAAAAAAACTTTATTGAAAGTACAGCTCTAACGTTAAGCTCGTAGGTGGATTGATTCTGCTTTGGGGCTTGTGTTGGAGCCGGTGGTGCAGGGAACATTAAGTTGGAAGACAAAAGAACAGATTCAATTTAGAACCTGCAAATAAAAAGGCTAAATCTGAAGATGAAAGAGAATGGCTTCAACAACACGATAATCATTCTGAACATGCTGTGAAACCCAGCTCAGAATCCCTCAGGAAGAAGGCTTCCCCGTGGTGTTGAGTCCACTGACCCAAACATCACTGAAAATATTTAGATAGGCCTCATATGAAGGTAACCCACTTCAAGCTGAAATGTCAGTTTGGGGTCCTGCTCAGACATTTTTGTGCTGATATCGAGGTCGCTGAGTACACTTCAAGTCTCTGTGGTGTTACAGCAATTGTAAATGGGAGGCAAACATATCTCTAACCTAACTAGACTCTGAGAGCGCACACCTCCGTCATGACCCTACGGTCACTCGCAGTAACATCTTGTGCACAGGCAGACAAGAATACTAAAAAAAATAATAATAATAAATTCTGGATCTGGATAGTTATGCAGATCACCACCAAAATTTAATAATTTGTTCTTTGGGATAACCTTGTTTCTTGAAATTTAATGAAAAAACATTCTAACTTTTTGAGAAATCATGTGCACAGACAGACAGACCAACAAATCGACCCTACCGACAACATAACCTGCTTCTCAAAGTATTTCTAAATTGTACCTCACTGATGATGCACACAACGTGGATACTTTTCTCACATGAATAAAAATGGGTCTGTCAAAGAAGACAACGATCCAGAAGCATGATCTTATAAAACACACAATGCAGGTTCTCTGCTGCCTTCAATGTCATTATGGTTCAGAATGGTGTGTTTAGTGTCTTCATAGAACAAGAACCTCTTGGCATAAAATAGTATTTTTGTCGAGGTTTTATTTAGGGATGCACCGATCCACTTTTTTTCAGTTCCGATCCGATACCAATATCTGGTGGCCTGGTATCGGCCGATCCCGATCCAATACCGATCTGATACATATAAACAGTGCTGAATTATCGATATCATCATCCTCATTGATTTTATATGAGGCTGTAATAATCTCCTCTCAAGAACAATTTGTACAAATCTATGCATGCATCTCCAAAAAGGCAACTTGAGGCAAGTTTTATTAATGTTGGATAAGTTTTAAAGTTAGAATTAAATTATGCTAACACAAAACATGTTTGTTTTTATTCCTAGCATTAAAGTGGGTATGATTAATTTAAGTGATATAATTAGGATTAGGTTTAGCAACTTCTCTGTAAACATTCAAGCTCCGGGGCTTCAGCGATGTCTTCTTCTTGTTCAATTCGAAGCAGGCAGCCTGATTTCGGTCAGCCGCGCTCAATCTGCCCCTCCCCAGAGACGGGCAGATTTAGTGGGGCAGTTTGAACGCGGCTGGTCGGGGTTGGGCTGCCTGCTATGTGTTCAACGAGAGCAGCGCCTCGCTGAAGCCCCGGAACTCGAATGTCCAACGTAAAACTAACTTTATCGTGGTTTAATGTGGCGCTATGCCTCTGCAGACATTGCACGTTGCTGTCTTGTTTTGTGGTGTTTCTAGTGTAAAATACTTCCACACAGCGGACATGTTTAGATGAAAAGTTAGCTGTTAGCCACAGTGCTTGCTTGCTACCTCAGTCCTCACGTTGTAGCTGGCTGCAAACTATGAAATGGATTTCCTGAATGTAACATGGGTCTTATTACTCTGGCCTCATGAGATATGCCTCCGTTCAGGAAATCCATTCCATAGTTTGAAGCCAACATGCATCATGGATTGGAAATCTCAAAATCTCTGCAGGTTGGATCGGAAAATGGATCGGTCACATTGTCACTGATACCCGAAACTTAAAGTCCCCTTTATAGTCCATCTTGCTATATTTAGTGTCCATTGTTTTGTACCTTGAATCAAAGAAATGACTTCCCTCAAAGACGATCAAAAGATCTGAGTATTTTAAAACTGCTCAGTCATTAACTCTCCTCCAACATTAATTTAATGTTTGCATGTTTTTATTATCTTCGTCCATGTCGTGATTTAGGCAACAGATCCAGACCTGGGAGCAAATGGTCAGGTCCATTACCGTCTCGTCAACCACCAGACTCTGTTTTCCATCAACGCCAGTGGAAGCATATGGACCGCAGTGCCTCTGGACAGAGAGGTCAACAGAAATCACAGATTTATTCTACATGTTCAGTGGATTTTGTTAGGAAACAGTAGCAACAGTTTAGCTTTAGTGTAAACATTTGTTGTGAATCTGTATCTTTAAAGGTAAGACAACACTATTTCCTCGCGGTGGAGGCCTCAGATGGGGCCGAGGTCCCTCGGAGATCCATATTAAGACTATCTGTCACCGTTTTGGATGTCGACGACAACAGCCCCGTTTTCTCCCAACAGTCTTACGATGTCAACCTCCCAGAGAACAGCCCAAAGGATACAGTCATACTACAATTAAAGGTGGGTGTTTGGGAGGACAGAAAGGTCTAAAGACGTATCTTTCTAACGGTTCAAGCAGTAAATTACTACTGTTCAATCTGTCTCGAGATTTGTTCAGTTCTAAAGTTTGCTTCGTCTTGCTTTTTAAAAAGTTTAATTATTTGTAGGTGACACGACAGTGATGGGACTGATGATGAGTTTTCAGCAGGAGATTTTGGTCTGGTGTAGAGAGATTAATCTCTGCATTAATGTGGAGGAGATGAGGGAGCTGGTTGGGGATTTCAGAAGAAGCCACACTCCCTCTGCCCTGTTTATTGATGGAGCAGTTGTGGAAATGTTTCACAGCTTCAAATATTCTGGACTCCTCATTTCAGAGAATTGGTGTGGTCCTGCACCTTCAACTTAATTAAATGTGCCCCAAAACACATACATTTCTTTCATCATCAGCTGGTAGGGTTTAGGAACAGCTCTGCTTTGCAGAAGGAGGTGAACTTAACTTGCAGAGGATTTCCTTCTACCAAGTTCCTCTACATCAGCAGAGGCAGGAGCAGTGGAGGATTGAATGATGGGGATCTCAACCCACCTCAATCATGAACTGTTTGACCCTTTTCCTTAGGCAGGTGGCTGCAGAGTAACAAGGTGCAAATGCAGTTTCTAACCAGAGGCTATCCGACTGGTCCACTCTGTGCCTCATTGAAACTACTCTGCCTGCTACTAGACCTGCTGCGATAAACAATAAATAATTAATCGCATGATAAATGAAAATTATCAACCTCATTTTCATTTATCGGCTTATCGTTTCTTCGTATCTCTCTCTTTCTACTGAAGACACTGGATGACAAAAAGGCTCAACTCCGGTGCTCTTCACTGACTGCTCTCTTTCTCTCTTCTCTTTAAAATCTATATTAACCGTTCAAAATCGTGTTTTGGATTGTTAAAAGCAGCTAAGCTGAGAAGCTAATCTACAAGCTAAGCTAACAGGCCGACCTCTGGGAAAAAACCTCCGTCTTGTCAAAGCTCTAAAATTCACAGTTGAAACCTGTGCCTTCATCTAAAAAGTTGTTTGTCTCTGCAAAAAAAAGCTGAGAACTTGTTTACTGATTTTTTTTTTATTAAAATCTTTGTGTGACCAAAGCTATGCTAAAGAGTTCAAACCACACAGAGAGCCCGCCATTTTGAGAACTGAAAAACAGGAACGAGAGACAGCCCATGTCACGTGAAGAGGCCTCCCTCTCATTTTTCTTAAAGAGACACACTGCTCGCTCCCTCACTATCCATCCTTCAGTTCAAACTGTCTTATACTGTCATTCAGTGGTCAAAAAAGGTACTACAAACAAAAATTTGCCAGCATTTCTTCTTAAATTTGACAATAATTACTAATTATTGTCAAATTCCAAACTATATTACCGTTTATTGCAATAATTTCTGAAATAATTAATTGCCCAGCAAAATTTATCATGACAAGCCTACCTGAAACATTACATTGTTTCTGTCCAAGGTATTGTCCATTTTATTCTGCTCTATATACTGTATATACAGTTATACCTTGTTTATCGTGGGGGATCGGGACCCTGAAGCCCTACGATAAATGAAAAACCGCAAAGTAGGAATAGTAGTACAAGTTGTAAGTAGTAGCTTATTTTAATATATATATATATATATATATATATATATATATATATATATATAACGTTCACACTCTCTTGCAATATTTCAAACAATGTTTCTAAACTCTGAACCACGATGTAGTAACGGAATACTGTGTATCAATTAATTTATTAATAATGTCACTGAGTTGAAAAGCCCTTTCTACGTAGACCAGTAATCCTACACAGATTATTTTTTAACAATTTTACAGCTGCTTGATATTCAAAGCAAGGTAACATAAGATTAATGTTCTGACTCAATACAAGGCCTTTAAGTCATAAATTCACTTTATGACACTCATATTAATGTTACATAGAGTCACACTTAAATTTTTTTTGAATTTATCAAATTGCTTATATTTTGCATTCCAGGCAGCATAAGGGGTGTCATGAAAGTCTAAACTACCCTGTGAGGTGTTGAAGAATGCTAAATTAAAAGTGGCATGTTTCCCTCCAGCGACCCTTTTAAAAGCTTTGAAAAGAAATAGAAAGGCATTGACCACCGGTTGGACATTAAAGGTAGCCACCACAGGCATTACTAATATACCAATTCACCACTGAACATCATAAAAAGACTGCTGTGAATATGAAAAATTTAATATGCACAAAACAAGTGATTTTACTTCTTTTTTTGTTCTGCAGGCAACAGACGCTGACCTCATCTCCGACCTCACATATCAAATCAGAGCTGAAAGCTTGAATCCTGAGATATCGCAACTATTCCACATTGACCCAGTGACAGGGAAGCTGTCAGTTCTTAAGGTTCTGGACTATGAAGCTCTGAATGACTCGCAGCGCACGTACACGTTCACCGTAGAGGCTTTGGACAAAAAGGGTAGCATGCCTCCTGGACTGGCTTTGGTTACTGTCAGAGTATTGGTAAGTTTGTGTCTCGGACATGGTTTCTGTATTCAAGCATAAAGATAGAAAATACACCAGTGTGTGACGCTTCTACAACCACATCCTGGAAAAATGCTGAAAAGAAAGCAGTCGTACTGAAAGATAAAATATTTTTTTCTTAGTTTAGTTTGAATACTGTATTACAGAACTATTTAATGTTTTCTGTGATCATTATTGATCGATGGATCATCACATTTTATTCACAAAGCCAAAAAAAGACAACTGCTAAAAGCTATAAATAGGGCTTAATTTGAGCCTGATCACGCCAGAACAGGATTTGGGAACTCTCTTATTTTGACAGTGTGTGTTCCAGTAACTGTTTGCTTGGGTCCGGTAACTCTCAGGCTTGCTAATAATAAACAGTGGTGGAGAAATCTAAAACAGTTAAATCTGGTCCTCTGGACATTCAAAAAAAACAAAGCAAAACAACAACAAAATGTAGAAACGTTTCGTCTCTCATCCGAGAGACTTCCTCAGTCTGAGGTGCTGTATTCAGCTCTATTCAGCTCTATTCAGCTATTCAGTGGTGGAGAAAGTACTCAAACACTGTACTTAAGTAAAAGTACAGGTACATGAAAAATATACTTAAGTACAGTAACGAAGTATTTGTACTTAGTTACATCCCACCACTGATAATAAAGTTATGAACAAATGTGACTGCCTTGAATGAATAAAACTTATATTGGATGCAAACTGAAAATAATTACATAAACACTAATTTTAAACACAACAGTCACTTTTGAGCTTCTTAATATCACATACGTTCCCTTTCAAGTAAGCATTTCTGCTTCTACCCTTAAAAAAAATCTCCACCCATAAAAGTCCAAAGTCACTGCGCATTTTTATTAAAAAAACTCAAAAATATAATTAAACAGCATAACTAAATTGCAAATCAGTTCTACAGTGGGTGATTAATAAAATTTTGATTATTTATAAAAAATACAATGAGAGAAATGTTTGTGTATTATTCACATTACGTATCAAAACAACTGTACTAATTTGTCAAAATAACAGCTAGGATGCTTGACGGTAGCGGAGTGTTTACAAATGTAGCTAAACGTAGATTTTTAACAACCTGTTAAAATAACAAAGTCCATGCTCAATAATCCAGGTATACAATCCAACATTTTTCAGTCAGGTCATCTGGACAGTTTCTTTTTTGTTTTGTGCTGAAACGTTTCGCCTTCGGTCCAGAAGGCTTCATCAGTCAAGGAAACACACAACAAAACTGATTCCTCCCCCAACAGCTTACTCCAAAGTGGAACAAACCAATTCTGCTTGTGATAAGATGGTCTCTTTGGTACGCCCCCTCCTCCATTGCCGGCCCTCTTCCTTGTTGACAGTT